GCCACCAAACACACATTCAAACTAAAGGAACCAGCCTGTTTGGCAAAATGTAAGAAGTAGAAAGTACAGGTATTTGGGTTCAACATGTAAGAAGTAGAAAGTACAGGTATTTGGGTTCAACATGTAAGAAGTAGAAAGTACAGGTATTTGTGTTCAACATGTAAGAAGTAGAAAGAAAAATGTACTTAAGTACATTAAAGAAGTATTTGTACTCCACTACTTCCCACCTCTGCTCAAGACCGTACTAAAAACCCATCATCCTTATCGGCTGTAATCCAGGAAACAGAACAGTTTGATATGCCTTTGTGTTAAAGTGTGTGTTACAGAGCTGTTTAATGCCTTAGTGTCATCATCATCATCATCATCCTCAGAGTCTGCAGTGGACTGAGTTTGGCTGCTTCTGAGCGTAGGAGGACAAACAGCACGAGTCTGCAGGCCCACAGCTCCACATTCCCACCAGCTAGACTAGATTATTAGATAAAGGGCAGAGTAATGGTGCTCGTCCACATTAGGAGCAGGCTGGACATGCAGGGAGGGGGGAAGGACCCATAGAAAACACAACTTGAAATGTCTGGCGAGTAGAAACATTGATCTCTTTAAGATGCTCTGAATCCTCGGCCATTATTTTCCCAGAGTGAGCAGACTCTGAAAAGGAGGGGGTGTTCCTGATCTAGAAGCTTTGCATGGACACAAATCAAAACAAAAAGATGCTGCTCTTGCAAAAATAATATGTATCCACCACACAGCCTGATTCATGTGTTGAAACCCTCTCTAATTGTGCGGGGAAGTCCTGGTATTTATTCACTCTCCCTGCATATTGATCTCATCTGAGCACAGAAAAGAAAGCCGTCTATTCAGCACTAATGTTTACACATTTACAGGAAAATACAAAAGCAGAAGCCTGTGTGATTCAAGCTCCTTACAGCACTACAGTAATTTGGATATGGCTTCCTTTTATGAGCTTGTGCTAAGCGTATTTGCTGTACGACTACACCGTGACTCATTGTAAACACAAGAGGGTCAGGCCAGCACAAATCCTTCTGGCTCAATATCAAGGATGACACGTTCTGCTGGATTAATAGAAATTATAGCCCACAGTTACAAAACAATGCATCCATCTCTTGTATTCTATAAACAAGAGTGCCACTCTAATCTTATATAATATTCGAGCACATGACGGCGCTTCACCGGCGGCTATAAGCTGAGCAGAGCAGAGACGTAGCACTTAAGAAACATTGTTTTTGTGTTGTATTTTCAAAGTGATGGAAATCCAACTAAGTGTTTTCAACTGCAAGCGCCTGTAGGTTTACACACAAGAGCCCAGAGGAGAGGCATCGCATCCGGACTCACACTAAAAGACATGGGACCCGTCTTTGTTCTGCAAGTAACAACGAGCAAGTCTTTGCACTCAAGTCTAAAGTACTAAGCCCTAGGAATTTAGTCTGGAGTCCTAAAGAACCCAATTTCAACCAAAGCTTTTACATAATGCAATTTCGCTTTGTTGACGAGAATTTTTGAACAAGAACAAAAATATCTTTGTTGCCATTTCTTCCAACTGGAGCTGAATAAAGTGACGTTCATTCTCTAAAGAAGCCCTATTTTCCCTTACCTGTAGTAATAATAATAATAATAATAATAATAATACAAGCAAGAAGTGCTAAGCCAGGTGGAAGAGGGGCGAGGGTTTACGGTTATATAGTGTGTCATACAGTTAGTTACCCATTGGACTCAATTTTTTACTTCTAGAACATTGTGACATCACTATGGAACACTCCTATTGGCTAGCGCTTCAACACATTGTACTTGATAGGCTAAGGGGCGGGACATCTTTAAGTTGTTGACCAATCACAACAGAGCGTAGAAGAGAGCAGAGAAGTGTCAGCGTCATGCTGGGGAATTAATAGCATCAGTTGATGGAGCAACAAAAGGGACATTTATGAAATCATGACACACTTTGACGTATTTTAATGAAGTATTTTTAAGTCAAGCGACTCCAAGTGAAGTCCTACACTTTGAGTTGTGAGTACTAGTGCATTTAAAAGTCCCCTATTATACTGTTTCTCATCAATATCACAGGTCTCAGATATATCCAGAACATGTCTCTGATTGGCTGGAACACCAAACAGATCATTGCAGCATTACCCATAATCCCCTCTGTTTCAGCCCTGTTTTCAAAGGGCTGATTCTCTGTCTGTTACTTTAGATCAAGGGGGTCAAACTCAATTTCATCTCGGGCCACATCAGCATCATGGTAGCACTCAAATGGCCGGTTTTATATATAAGACTATATAAAAATACATATATAAATATTTAAAATATATATATAAAATAATGTATTATATTACATTATTGCCTCTGCATTGGATTATTATTGGATAGGGTAAACACTTCATAATTAACTACGTCTGAAAGCAGAAGTCTGGGGCAAATAATTGCAAGTGTCTTCAGTGAGAATGTCACAACATGATTTAAAAAGAAAAGCCAAATTCTGGAGAAAAAAAGTCAAAATCCAAAAAATAAACAAGTGACATTTTGTAATAAAAGTCAGATTCTGAGAAAATAGGAATATTTTGAAGAAAAAAATTCTGATTCTGAGAAACAAGTCCAATTTGAGATGCATTGTGGGACATGTAGTTTATGGGCAACGTGCTTCTGTAAATCGGCAT